GCTGTTGAAACTGATCAGTTTCAGCAGCGGCTGAATCTGGACGCCAGTTCCGACTTACATACAGATTCAACTTAAGAACAAACCTACAGTCCCTATCTTGTACGTAACCCGGGGACTGCCTGTATATTAATGCACTCATAACAGTGCAATTTTTAAAGAAATCTATTTGGAGAGTTTTGAGCTATGATTGAATCAGAAATTCACAACCATTATGAAATCAAGTTTAATGTCAACAATGAAGTTACACGTATATAATTATGTATCCAAGGGTTTCTGTGTACCTAAGTTTGAACAAAGAAACCATACCAACCACAGGTAACAGAAACCGGTTCAAACGTAATAGTGCAAAAGTAGAGGAAAAGTAGAGCTGTACAATATTCAATATTTGACATAAGCTCAGCTGCTCTAATGGAAGTATGATACAGAGTTCTTTAGATCATTTAGCAGAGGTCCTTCAGCAGACAAATATACCCCAGGTTTAGTCCTATATCCCTGCTATAACATACAAATATGAATAATTTCTGAAGATGAAATACATACTTTGGTTGGAAGTCTGGCCTAAATCCTTTAGGTAGTTGTAGCTCATCCATTTTTTCTGAGTTACCACAAGAATTATCTGCATAAAAAGTCCAATAAAGTTTGTAATTATATAAATTCATCTGTATGTGAATTTTACTGTTCATGAACATTGCAGAATGACATCAGAAACTGAATTTCTGAATTCCTTAGAATAATTATAACATGGTCAGCGGCTATGTAAATTTCTTAAAACTTTTTTTTTCTAACATCTCAGTTCTGTAATGGAAGGACCAGCTGTATGGAAAGTGTTAATTCAAACTTCATTGCCATGTAATTCATGGTTTCATGAATGAGACTGAAAACATGGTTGCCATCTGTCTTAGTTGTGACATGTGGAACTGGTACATTAGGAACTAAATGGAGACCACTTAAGTCAATTCACATGGAAGCAGTAATCCAAGGAGAACTTTCTACCCTGATCTGGATTCAAATAAAACACTAATCATTAAAAGCCTCCATGTCTAAGTGACATTTCCATACTTCAGGCTATATAATATTAGATCTTCAGACTTACCAGCCGTTTCTTCATTGCAAAGTATATATAATGCTTTGATTTGCTGGGATATTGTTCTCATCCAGTGAGCTAGATTTGGTTGATCTGAAAAATCTAACCTATCAAAAAACAGAAGAAATACATTTTAAAAAATTAAATTATTTGAGAATAGATATTGTATTCTCCTTTAGGAAAAATAATTTGTATAATTTATCTCATATAAGAGTAAGCGTGACATTTGAAAAAATAAGATTAAGATTTATGGGAGAAGAGAGAGGAAAACTCCTAATTATACTTTAAAATGCAATGAACCATGACCATATGCCATCACGACACTGTGGCTATGTCTACCCTGCATTTCTTTTGGCAGAAGAGGATATGTAAATGGCATACTCATTTGCATATCTTCTTCCGATTCTTTTTGTAGAAGAGATTTTGCTGCTAAAAAGCCCTATGTAGATGTGGTCATTTGTCGGAAAAAAAAACCTTTTTCGCAAGATCCATAAACCTCGATTTTTGAGGAATAAAGGATCTTGTGAAAAAGGTTTTTGTTTTCCAACAAATGGTCACGTCTACACAGGGCTTTTTGGCAGCAAAACCTCTTCCACAAAAAGAATCGGAAGAAGATATGCAAATGAGTGTGCCTAACTGAATGGGTAATTTTTTAAAAGATGAAACAGTTCGGGCTCCACTGTGGCATAATATCTGTGACACATATGCATATTTTATAGGTTATTTGAGATGAGTACTTTTACTTTTCCTATATTCTGTAGTGGTATATCTTACACATTTACTAAAATCTCCTACTCCTCATTCAGAAGACCAACTCACAGCTGTAATCATTGACCACCTATTTAATAATTACAGTACCAGGGGTCGGCAAACTTTTCCAACCAAAGAGCCAAATAACATCAAAATTCAGAACAAGTGATCAGCAAAGAGCCATATAAGAATGCCTATTTGCTTGACTGAAAATATACTACTTAATATTGATAATTGAAATAATGATTAATGATAGCACAAATGAAACATTATACTCACAGACTTTATTTAATGGGACTTCTATTGCTGCATCTTTTCGCAGTCCTTTGAAGTTTACATCATAACTGGTCAAATACAGCTTCATGCACACATTCAAGCTATCTACTGTCAGTCTTATGGCAGGGGCTGGGGATGTAGGAGTTTGGGTTGGGGTGTATGATGGACGCAGCGCACAAGGTTGGGACGCGTGGGCGTGCAGGTGTGTTATGGCAGGGGACTGGATATGTGGGGGTAATGAGGGGCTCAGGGCAGGGGCTCACGTGTATGATGGGCTTAGGGCTGGTGTGGGGCATGGTATGTGTGCAGAAGTGTTATGACGTTGCAGCCAGATGGGAGTTGGAGCCAAATTAGGGGCTTCTTGGCAAGGCTTCATTTTTAAATAAAGTAAAATATTATGCCCAACACAAAAAGTTTCAACATTATCTTTATTTATGGCAGGAGTGGGGAACCTTTTTTGGTCGGGGGCCACTGATAGACAGAAAAATCAGTTGGGGGATCACAAAAGTGAGAAGCAAAACACCCCTCCAAAAACCCTCAATCCTCACTGATGTGACGATCCCCAAATGAAACACTTCACTCCCCTGGTGCTCCAGTTCCATAGTGGAGTGAGGTGCAAGGAGGACTGAGGTTCAAGGTCTCAGGCCAGATTTTCTCTTCTGGGGTTCCAGGTTAGTGGATTTTTTGGCCCTCAGCCTCTGGGTTGGGGCCAAAAATGAGGAATTAAGTATGCGGGTCAGTGCTGCCAGTAAATGGGATAGGCATGAGAGTGCAGGATTTGAATGGGAGGTGGGATGTAGGACAGGGTGAGAGTGCAAGGTCTGGCCAGGGGGGCAAGCTGCCTGGCTAGAGGGCAGGAGCAGGCTGAGGGCTGGCTGCTTGGCCAGGGGGCAGAGTGCCTGGCCAGGAGGAAGAGTGTGCCAGGGTTGGGGGTAAGCGTGAATGTTGGCCAGTGGGCAGAGGGGATTTTGGCCAAGAGGCTGGGGACAAGAGGTGTCTGGCTGGGATCAGAAGGTAGGAGGTGTCTGAACAGGAAGCTAGAGGGATTTTGGACAGGGGGCTGAGTCGGGGGGATTTTGGGCAGAAGGCAGGTGCTGTGTGGCTTAAGGAGGTCAGGAGGAGGGGCCTGGGCACGAGGGAGTGGGGGCACTTGTTTTTTTGCCACATGGCAAGCATGGTGTAATACACCTCCCCCTGCTCCCATTCACTGGCAGGAAGACTCCGGGAAGGGTTGGCAAGGGAGGCCTGCAGGAAATGTGTTCCGAGGGAACAAATTAGCAGTGTACAGGGAGCCATCTTCGGTTTTTGGTTTCCCCCATATGGGTGGAAGGAAAAAGCTGTTGCACTGAGCCATGTCTAGCCTGTTTGTTCCCCGCACCTTTGATCCAGCAGGGAATCTTGGGACTCTCCGCCCTGTCCTGGCAGAAAGCTACACTGATATTGAGTGCTGTGGGAGGCCAAAAGGCTGTAGCACCCAGTGCTGGTTCCCTGCTGTGGAGGAGCAAGGGGGAGCTGGACTGGGGCTCCAGAAGAGCCATATTTGGATCCCTAGAGAACCATATTTGGCTTGCGAGCCATAGGTTGCCGACCTCTGCTCTATAGTATCATGAACAGAAATAACTGCAATTCACTAATCTGAGACCTTAAAATCTCCATAAAGATATTAGTTTCAACAGAATCAGATTTCATTTTTGAAATACTGTTATCCACTATATATTTGAGAGAATTTGTCCGAGTGTGTCTGTCTGTTCAAAAACTTTTCCTAAATGCTAAGAGCTAGGACCACCAAATTCAGTATACAGCTTCCTCTTACAATTTAAAACAAGGTAACGTGTTGGTAGTACCAGGAAAATGGGATGTGCCAAGAATGGGATTACTTCTCATAAAACCATAAAGAAGAGAGACAATCACAAGGCAGGTGAAAGGGGCTGGTTGGGGGTGCCCTATCCCCCTTCCAAACTGCGCTAGCCCCACCTCTCCCACCCCTCCCTAAGAGCCCATTAGGCAGGGCAAGGGGGCTTAAGCTCTCTTCTCCTCCCCCCGATTTGTACTGGAACATTGCTGGCTTATCTCCAACACAGAACAAGGGGAAGTGCACAGTTTGCTGCATTCATCATTCTGGCTGGGAAGTGCAGGAGGCAGACAAATCTGGACCTGCCTGTGACAGGGGACATATACCTGGCTTTGCCTGCTGGAACTGCAGCAGGCATGGAGAGGTGCTTCTCATCAGGGTCCAAGCTGCTGCAGTAACAGAGGGCTGGGATAGTCCTCTCTCCCTGGGGCAGCCTGCATGCTGAACTCCTCATCCCCCAGCCTCACCCCAGAGCATGGACTCATTGAGTAAAGGACCCAAGCAACACCAGGTAAAATATTCTAGTGAGTAATATTTGCAACTCCCTAAAAAACATGGGTAAAAAGTAAGTCTTTGTTTCAAGCTGTGTGGACATAGTTTTGTCATTGTCCCTTAAAATGTACTTGCCGTGACAAATAAGCCAGCATTCAAGGAGAAGAATAGACGACAACTAATCCCCATGACATAGTTGGGTGTGGTGGATTCTACTCAGCAGAGGAAATCTCTTTAATGCAGCTTTGACCTCTTAATCTGATAATTATTGATGTTTACTCAAATACAAGGTTCTGCCACATGTCGCTGAGATCTTTTACATGTGAGATTTTTCTAAACACACAGTGTAAAATTTATCAGGATACGACTAACATGTTTATTATATTCTAGAACTTGTGCTACTGAACAGAGTTTTGGTCTTGTGTGTGTCTATGTAGGCAACAGAAAATTTTTCAATGTATAATGACCAAAACAATATTTATGGATTTTACAAAGAATTTGCTGCATGAAGACTCTTTGAATAAAAGTGATTGCACATAAATATATATATTTTTTCATGCTCACAAAACTATTACAAAGGCTAAACTGATAAGCAGTCCTACAATCTACAGACAATTTGTCCTTCATCTTTTTGGTTTTATCTGCTCTGACAATATTCAATGTGGAGAAGCTCCACAATTCATTGTTATGAACAGAGGTAGATGTGCTAAAGAAAATTATTATTTGTGTCTTCCACTGATTTGTGGGGCTTGTACATCCTCACTAAAGAAAGAATTAATTTTAATCATATACAGGCACAATGATGCAGTCCACAATTATCAGTAACTTTTTTGGGGTCCTTCCAAATTAACAGTCCATTTTGGTCAATTTCATGCTCATGAGATTTTAAAAATAATAAATTTCATTATTTCAGCTATTTAATGAAAGTCTCCTCCCCAGTAGTTGGAGGAGAAACTCCTTTACCCGGTGTAGAGAAGCAATTATTCTTTCCTTTCTGCATCTACCTCCCCACACCATCCTCCCAGATTTTTCCTTCTTTCCCCTTTCTCCTTTTACAGTCCTTTGATTTCCTTCCGGCTCTTTTTTTTTGGGCTGACTTCAATTAGTCACCCCTCCTGCCACATGGCACTCTATTCCACTGATTCCTTTCTCTCTGCCCTCCATACACTCCTCTGTCACAATCATCCTTGTTTCTTTCTCTCTCTATATTCTTTGTAATTTCAAAATAACTAAGCACAAAAGGCAGTTATCTTGACTGAAGAAAGAGTGGTATTATTTACAGATTATCAAAATAATGAGAAATTGTGAAAAATTTTAAAAGTTCAAATTTCATAGGAGAAAATCTGCTGTTCCTGAAATGAGCAGCTTTTTAAAAAATATTACAAGACCCAACAAACAATGTAAGCTGGCAACTGTGTAGTCTATTGACTATGTTTAATTCATATTCCAGTTTAATTGACAGCAAAGCATTTTAAAATTTGTTTTAAGCACATATGCATTTCCCAACCCTGCAACCATTTACCACTGACATTGCACTTATGTGCAGCTCTGGTAATATGCATGTGCAGAATTGGGCCCTGAATTTTTTAAATTACACAGACAGTTTAATTACAAATTTGATTCAAGAGTGGGATTTTTCCATAGTTAATAAACAAACTGACCTGTTAAATAAACCCCTTGGTGGAGGAAGCAGAGGAATAACAGTGTTACTTAAACATTCACATAGAGGGCAAAGGAATTCACCATTTTCTACATCATAACTTGTATGCACACGTAATCTTTGTTGCCTTCGTTGTTCCTTTGCTTGAACAGCATCAAAATACCTTTGGAAAATAAATAATAAAAATTAATCGTTATCAGTAAAATAGTATTTTAACGTATAAATCAATATGGCACTTCACCCTCCCCATACCTATGTAAGAAAATTACCTAAAATACAAATATGGGATATAAGAATTAGCCATTCATAATCTTTGATCAACAGAAATCTAACTCTAGATAATACTTTAAATAAATCAAAGACCCTCAAAATAGGTCAGTTCAATAGACCTCAAAATAACAAATAAGATTCTCTTCAGATTTAAAAATCAGGATTTTCTAGTTTATTTTTAAAAAGTAAGTTTGACTGTAAGAAGAAGGGTATCGGGAGAATCCTAGTCTCCAGGTGTATTCAGAAAACATAATTTTAGCAATCAATAGTGCCTCTTCACTTATTGTGAAAATCTTTTCTTTGTTCACAATTCTCGTTGTCCATGGCCAGAGAAACCAAACTTCTAAGTTTTAGGAAGTAATAAGTGCTCCCGAACTAAAGAATCAAAATTCCCAACATAGAACTTCATCCTGAGTGGAAGTGGATCAAGCTAAAAGAAAAAAAAGGTACTCATTCCAAAATAAGAGTTTCCATGGAATGAGTGCCTTTTTCTTATTTAGCTTGATCCACTTCTCAAGTGGCTTAACATCAAGATTTGTTTATACTATTTTCAGAATAGCTATTTCAGTAGATTTCCAAGTATAGAGAAGCCCTTATACACTCCCAACTTTTCCTATTCATCAAGCTCTTTTCCTAATTATACACTATGTTCTCATTAGGATACAGAAGCATGCATTAGCATTTGTAATTAATCAACAAACACAGCTCCAAAACTGAATACAGGCAGTCCCCGAGTTACACGGATCTGACTTACATCGGATCCTTACTTACAAACGGGATGGGGGCAACCCCGCACTAGCTGCTTCCCCCCAGCAGACCAGGGAGACGCGAAGCTAGCGCCCTTCCCCCAGCAGACCAGGGAGACGCGGAGCGGCTTTTCCTCAGCAGACACCTCAGCTTGAGAAGAAAGGACTGAGGGAAGTGAGGTGTGGGAGAATAAAACTGAGCTCTGGAGAAATGTTTGGCTAGAGTTTCCCCTACAATATGTACCAGTTCCGACTTACATACAAATTCAACTTAAGAACAAACCTACAGTCCCTATCTTGTACATAACCTGGGGACTGCCTGTACTTAATATTGCTGCAAGATGTTCTAGCAAAAATAGCAAATATTGCAGCATGATGTACCAGCAAAAATTAAAGAAGTAATTCAAGGAAATATAGGCATCCTGCAAGCAGAAAAAAGCTTTACTGCACAGATAAATTATTCACTTCAAATTATTTGTTTAACTCCAGATTAAGAACGAATCTAAACACTCTTTTAAACAATAAAATCTAACAATGATTGGAAAGTATGGATCATTTCAGGATTCATACTTAATATTATGGTTATGTCCTAAAATTATACAAATACTGTTCACATATGAACGTAAGTCTAACTTCTACAGACATTATTGAAACTTGTATCCTCTCAACTTTAAAACTGATAAGTGGAAAACTAATTTTTTTAGTAGTAACAACATACACATAAGTTCCTTCTCAATATGATAACTCATTAGGGTGACAGATGTTAAACTATCATTTCTAATAAATTCCGTTTGCAATTTAGCTATAAAGGGTTCTCTCTTTTTTTCCTCTTAGCTATCTTTATTGGTCTATAATATCATTTATTTCTAAATTATATATTTGGGATCTAATCCTTCCATTCAAGTAAATGTTAAGGCTCCAACTGGCATTAGTGGGAGAAGGACTGGGTCATTTATGTCTAGTTGAAAATCAAGTTCACTTCTGCTAACTCATGGCAATTACCTTTGCCAACAGTGGGCGTGCATAATATGTCCACAGCTACCCGTGTGTGTTCCACATGACAGCTCTGGATGCATGAATAGTGGGTCATATTTTTCTGTGTAAAAACAAACAATTTTGCATTTAAATCTTTCTATAATAAATAGATGTTTATTTCTGACACTAAAATATTAACATTTGCCATTTTCATGCTTTATTTAACTTTATTAAAAGAATAACCTTTTTTATTATTCCTTTGAGAAAGTCAATTTAAAGCACCAATCCCTACAAATGTACTTTTTAGATAGGTCACTTGAAACACAAATTAAAGGCTCAGTTATAAATACATAATACTTATTTACGAAAGATGAAATTATCAACAAACAGGTCCTGAATTTCAGAGGCACTGAATATAAGCAACGCCCATTAGTTTAACTGGAATTTGGGTTTTCATCACCCCTAGAAAAAAAATCAGGCCTACAGAGCATTAATAATATTATATAAGTGGAACAGATAGGTATGATGTAGTATAGAAAAATACTGTGTATTCACATACACATTATGTGAACAGAGAATACTTCAGATGAGGCAATCCCAACCAACTTAAAAACGGGCTGTTCCAGAAGTCTTGGAACTAAACTGTTTTTTTCTGAATTTCTCTACCAAAAAGAATCTAATGAGGGAAAAAAAAGCTATATTCATAAACATGCGTCAACCATAGATATTAAATGAACTGACTGCTGCCCAATATAACATAAATCCATGTATAGAACAACTGATGTATGTACTAGTTATGGCCAAATATAATATGTTCTCTATGCTGGGGTGGGGAGGAGAGGTTATGGCCCAGAGTGATTTCTGAGGAGGGTATAAATTGTATCTTTACACTGCAGCTTTAGTGCACTAAAAATATCAATGTGGGACATTCTACCTCAAGCTTTCAAGTCTAGAGGGTAGGAGGGTTTTGACTGCCAGAGCAAGAATAGTTACATTTATACTTTTAGCATGCTTGCCTGGACTCTGCTAATGAGAGGCTGTATAGGCAGATTGTGCAGCTCACTTGCATTGCAGACATCCTCAGGCTGAAAACTATAGGAGTTTCACTGGGTAAGGCAACTGTGAAGCTGAGCTGGTAATATTGCTCCTAACAAGCCTCTTCATGCATAGAGAGGTCTATTTGAAACAATGTGGCAGGTAGCTGCATCCACTCTGGGGCTGAAACTATTGAGGCCAGAAACAATTCAGGCTCAATTGTTCAATAGCCCTGAAAATTGTCAAGTCTCTTAGTAATGTTTCTTAGCACACTTAGTAACTGAATAAAGCATATGTATCCATAAGGTATCTTTCAGTTGATTAGTGAGGACTAAATGTTATTGAGCACTATAAAATGCTCTGCTGTACACAAGTCCACATTTTGGATGGTCAATGATTATAAAATGACAAGCTGAAATATGTAGTTGTCATGAGGTTATTTACACCACAGTAGACTTCAAGGATTCATTGCTTTTACCAAACCATTAGTAGATTTGCCACTGTAGCTGGATATCAGCACTGCCTCTTAATTTATTATAGCACCATGATGTCCAACACACAGGGGTCAGCAACCTTTCACAAGTAGTGTGCCAAGATTTAACTTATTCACTTCTATTTATGGATCTGCATGCTGGGGGAGGGGGGGAGAAGGGGGTTGCAGGGCAGGCTGAGTACGGTGACAATATTTTCTGAACCAGCTGCAGCTAGGGAGAACAGTTTAATTTAAATTATTCAACAGATTAAGCATTTTAACTTTCTCATGTTAGTTTAACAAACTTCATTTTAAATAAAGTAAAATTTATGTCCAACACAAAAGGTCTCAATGTTTTCTTTATTTATGGCAGGAGTGGGGAACCGTTTTTGGGTTGGGGGCCACTGACACACAGAAAAATCAGTTAGGGACCATATAAATGAGAAGCAAACACACACACACACACACACACACACACACACACACACACACACACAAAAGCCCCCCAAAAAACACAACACGCACAAACAAAAAACACACCCTCCAAAAAAACCCAACCTTCACTGATGTGGTCCCCAACTGAGACACCCCACTTTTCTGGTGAGGGGAAGGAGCAGGGAGGACTGAGGTTCAGGGCTTCCCATACGCCAGATTTACTTTTCTGGGGTTCCAGAGTTAGTGGATTTTGTGCAAATGCAGCCAAAAAAGGTGAGAGGGTGAGAATGCAGCCAAATAGCTAGTTGGGGAAGGAGGCAGAGAAGTGGGAAGTAAAGGAAAGTGCAACTTCTGCAAAGTAAAATTGTCTCCCTCCTCACGTTTTCCCTTCTGCTTCAGCCTCACTCCCCTCAGCCCCAAGATTCCCCGTCCCCACCGCAACTTGATCCTCTGCATTGACCCATCCCCTTCAGTGCCACCCCATCCCCTTCAGTGTCACCCTATCCCCCTCCCATCTTGCCCCCACATCCTCCTTCACCAACTCATCCCCAACATCCCTGTGCCTCCAGTGTGCACATTGGCAGGGCAGCAGCGCTGGGGTGGGGGGACAGAGTCGTTTCCCTGCCCAGCCCAGCCCTTTGCTGGGGCTTGCCCCTCACCTGCAGCCAGTTGCTCTGAGGCAGGCAGAGCCTGAGGCTGCTTGGAGCTTATTCCAGCCAGGCTGGGCACAGCTGGGCACTGGGGAAGGGTACCCTGGCCCCCCACCCACCTCAGGGGGAGCAGTATGTCGCAGCCAGAGCCCCATGGAGGTGGCACCAGCTTGTGACCGGCCACCTTGCCCCGAATCTGCAGAGCAGCTTCAGCCCTGCTCCCTCCCAGAGCAGGGATCAGAGCTTGTAGCAAGGGGTGTGAGTGTTAACCTCTTAGCTCCTGGGAGCTAGGGCAGCTTGAGGGACACAGAGCTCAGTGTGGGGTCATGCTGCCTGCTCCATTTGCCACTACACACTCATGCCTCCCCCACTCACGCTTGCCCTTCCCAGCAGGAAGCCAAGGTTCCAGCTGCTGCAGAAGGGAGCGGGGGGATGAGCTCCTGCTGCATGTGCCACTTAAAATCAGGTCGCGTGCTACTTATGGCATGCATACTGTAGGTTGCTGACCCCTGCGCCAGCCATTAGCCACATGTGGCTATTTGGCCGGCTGAGTGTAGCTAGTTCATTATAGCTTCAGAACTGGTTGTTTCAGGGTCTGTCTACCAGACAATGAAGTATTTTTGCTAGACCCAGCACTATCAAGCATCTAGTTATACCAATAATTGAGATGAAATAAAAACACAGGACTCAGAATAGGTACAGTGCAGATATAGATGATTATTTCAAAATGTTACAATAAAAATATGAATACAGCTTACCAGGATCCTGAATAACTTTGTTCCGGTTTTTAGACAATACAGTAGATCTCTGAACAAATGCTGCCAAGACCATAGCCCTGCTGTCCACTTTGACCTCTTGTTCTTCTTGACACAATATACAGGTAACTACCTGTCTCCGTTCAGTCACTCTAGTTTGCTTTGGACCCAAAGCTGTAAGCTTTGTATCTGAAACTGTAGGACTAAAATCAAATTATACCAATTAATTATGCCAATATTATACCATTAATTGACCTTCTTAAGAATTAAATCATGCTCTGTGTTTCATTAGTTTATTTGAGAGGTCTTATGTGCTTTCATTTTCATTTTGTAAATAAGCAAATACGTCATGCATGTGACTCCCAAAACTGCCATATAACACCACATTTCAGAGAAACCCTATGTCCTCCAGCAGATATGAAAATATTCACTTTCTTGAAATCACACTATTTCCAGATGAAAACTCAATTAAATCATTAGAACTAAGTTTGAAGTAAAATCTAGAGAGTTGTATGCAAAACTCAGCCTTTAATTTGGTGTCTTTTTTTTTTTTTTTTTAAAGTTTATGTGTAGGGCAACAATAATTCAATATCCAATTACACCTTATAGTAACAGGTTATTATTAAATATAGCATCTCAATCAAATACTGGAAGCTTTGGTTTTTGCCCAACAACTTCCCAGATTGCTGTTTTTTCTGGTTTGAATCAAAATTATAAAACACTGTGGTAGTACTTACAAAATCCTGCATGTATTATTCCAAACCTAACAATAGATTTTTTTTTAAAACCGGCATTAAAAGTGTTAAAATGTCATCTTAAACTAACAAAAGCAATCTCCCTGGGAGCAACAAAGCTTCATTTCCATATATTGTCCACCCTGACATAAATAGAGCCCAAACTTGTACTTTTTCCAATTGTCCCTCTAGCTGCCTTACATTTCAAATAACACATTTTCCATTTGCCAATCTTCCACAAAATACCCAAGTTACCATAATTTAGATTTTCAGTTGGTTACAATTTTTCCCTGTTTCTCACTCCCCTACATCCAAAACAACTTTCCCTAGTATAATTAACAATTAATCATTGCACTGGTCATACTTCCTAACCAAGATTTTACAATTCAGGCAGATTATCTGTGTCTGTTTAATTTTCTGAATCAGACATGGATATTGAATGCAATTCTGCTATAATCTTAACAGGGTGCAGAAAAAAGCAGACTGAAAAAGCAGCAGGAAATGGTTTGAAAGAGCTGGTCAGTTGTCAGCTGAGAAAAGGAAAATTTAGCTTTTGAGTTCAAACAGGAATGCTACAGGATATTTGATCTGAAAGCAACAGAAGATGTATTAACTGCCTCAATGTTTTAATTAAAATGTTTGTCCTTTACCTATTATCAAGTACTCTAGAAGTTGAAGTAGCTAGTTCTTCTAAAGTCTGCTGAAAAAGTTCTTTGTTCTCATCAATAAAGTGTCGTTGCATCTCTGACATCTGAGCCATGATCTTCTCTCTGCGCAGCCTGGCAATCTCAGCTTTTCGCTTCCTCTCAGCTTTATCTTTATCTCGTGTAGCCTGTAATTTTATTGGTCAGTTAATAATTGTTAAACATTTTGCAATGGACCAAAAATAGATACAAAAATATTAGTAACTGTTGTTCTTTGAGATATGTTGCACATGTCCACTCCAATGTAGGTGTGTGCACAACCCCAAGCATAGTTCCTGGATTTAGTTTACTCTTTGGTATCAGCTGGATCAGCTCTAGTGCTCCCTGAAGTCACATGCTAATAGCATCAGTATAAAAGGCCCTGCCAACCCTACTTCTCTTCAGTTTCTTCTTGCTGACCACCGCTGAGAAAGGGGACTATGGATGGGTTTTGGAAGGACATGTGCAACACTTATGAAAGAACAGTTACAGAAAGGCTAGTAACCATTTTTAGTCCTTCATATTCTTGCACATGTTCATTCCAGTGTAGCTGATTTACAACCAACTGCATTGGAGGTGGATTTGGAGATTAAGCACGGGCCGGCTGCAGCACAGCACAGCCAAAGCTGACATTGTCTCTGTCCTGTTGTGTAATGGTGTAGTGTGTCATGAATATATGAACTGACAGCTAAGTTGCCACTCAACTGGTGTTCTGAATTGGAACATGTGCCAAAAAATTGGCAGAGCAGGTTTGAGACCTTGTAGAATGCAGCATTAGATTAGCTCAGGGCAGAATGTCTGCAAGCTCATCACATGCTCTGATACAAGAAGCAATCCACAGCGATACTCTCCATGCAGAAATGGGGAGACCTTTCATTCCTTCTGTTATTGCTATGAACAGACTGGATCTGCAGAATGGCTTGGTTCTTTGTATGTTAAAAAAAGGCAGGACAAGCCAAATGTCCAATGAATGGACACACTATTCTTCTCTATTCATACGTGGCTCAGGGCAGAACACTGACAGAAACACTGCTTGATTGCAATGGAATTGTGACATCTCTTTTGTAAGAAGTGATGGGGGGGTCTCAACTGAACCTGGTCCTGGCAAAAGACCATATATGGGTGCTACATGGTGAAGGCTTGGCTCTCCAAAAGCTACCTGACTGAAGTGATGGCCACCAAGAACCCAACTTTCCAGGAGAGATGAAACAAGTGTGCATGTTGTCAGAAGTTCAAAAGGGAGTCCTGAGAGCTGTGACAGGACACTGCTTAGGGTCCAAAATCCCTAACTTGTGGGTATGCTCCCTCCAGGCACTTCAGAAACCAGATGACCATGCTGTGTGAAAAGATAGAGCGCAACTGTCAATCTTTGAATGAAAGATCAAGATAATAGCCAAAAGGATTTTGACTGAAAAGGGCTAGACTTTGTTGTCTGAGTAGAAGCAAGTAATCTAGAATAAATTGCGAGATGACTTCAAAGGCAGGACTTGATGTTAGGAACACCAGATGGAAAATCACTTTCATTTTTCCAGGAAGGTGGCTCTGGTGGATAGCTTTTTATTGCCCGTTAGAACCTCATGGACTTGCTCCAAGCAAACCAGCTCCTCTGGATTAAATCATGGAGCTTTCAGGCCATCGATGAGCGGAATGTGAGGTTCACATGCCACAGCTGGCCATGAGCCCTGGATATAAAATATGGATGCAACAGGAGTTGCAGTGGTATCTCCATTTTCATGACTCGAGTGTGGAGATCCAATGTTACCTGGCCATGCCAGCGCTAATAGGATGACTTGAGCTTGGTCTCACTTGATCTTCATTAGAACTTTGTGAATTAGTGTGAGACGAGGTAATGATTTGGATAGGTGTTTGGTCACTGTAACCAGAATGCATATGCAAGAGGCCCTAGGTTGTGACTTCTAAGGGAAAACTGCCATCTCAATGAACAGGAAATACCACCAAATGGATTTACAAGGATGATTCCCCACCATTATAAGATGTACATTACAATGTCTGCATGGAAAGCTCTCTCATGGTGAGATTAGAAAGATCTGCTGAGGCTGTCAGCTAGTTTAGAGTTGCAGGAATTTAAGATGCCTCTGACTGATGGACTGATTTATACAGATCTCCAAGAAGAGGATTGTTTTCTAGCACAAGGAGTGCATAGGAGAGACTACACCGTATCCTGCCTGTTTATGTAGAACAGTTCTATTGTCCATGAGGATCTAAATGGATTTGCTTGTTAGATAAGGTAGAAATGTCTGGCAAGCCAGAAACACTGTGCTATGTTTCTTGACATTGATGTGCAAGAAGAGCTCTTCTTAAGTCTAATGATCTTGAGTTCTGAAGGACACCAGGTGGGCTCTCCAGCCAAACACCAACATGTAACATACCAGACCCAAGGATGGCTGGGAATGCGAGAAAGTTACCCTGTACATAAAATCTGACTGTCCAGCTACCATGTTAGCAAGTCAAAAACCTGTACTGAAACCATGAGCACTGAGTCCAGGTAATGGCAAGAGGGAGTAGATTGTGGCTAGTTAGGCTTGTAGAGGTCTGAGTCATAGTGTTGCATGTTATACAGCATGAGTCATGACACCATGTAACCTAGGATATTCAGGTACTTTCACAAAGTTGTGATAGACTTGGAAGAGATAATATCAGGGACATAACTGAGAAGAACCAATCATCTGGAAGTAGAACCCTTGCTTGCACAGAGTCACACTGTGCTCCAATCAACTCTATCCTCCAGAATTAAGGTGGACATTTAATATTCTGGACACAACAGAAGGCCCAGTGCTTTGAAGGTCAGTAAGAGAAGACAGATAATGACTTCTGGTTGAGCTCTGGATTGGCCTTTAACCAACCAGTCATCGAGGTATGGGAACACAAGGACTCCATATTTTTTGGGGAAGGCTGCTACTTCGTGAAAATCTGCAGGCTGAAAGGGAGTATCACAAAACCGATAGTGCTTTCAGTTCACTATGAACCATAGGAAAAACACCCGTAACCAGAAAAAAACTGAAATGTGGAAGTGGGCAAATTAGATTGAGGGCAGCCTACCAATCTCCAGGATTCAGGGAGGGGATGATATTTAAGGAGGCCTTGCAGAACTCCAGGTTCTTGAGATATGTCGGCCGAGACATTGTAACCCAAACACCTTCTGTGGGTGTGGTATACTGTCCCACCTAGACCCCTTACAGAGAAAATTAATCTGCTTCACAGTGTTGGCTACCAGCCAGCTGGCTTTTAGCTCATGTGGTAGAGGCTCATGTTCTAAGGTCCAGAGGTCCCAGATTTGATTCTGTCCGCAGACAATCAGGGTCTGTCAGTGTTACAGCATTATACATATGGAACGGATTGGAGACCACCTTAGGCTTTTGGAGTTA